TTTCAAGGCTGTGAACTGTCAAAAGCAGATTGCCAGGCCTGTCTTCTGAGGCACCCATGGGTGGGTTCGAACTACCAACCTTTCAACTAGTGGTTGAGCACTTAACTGTTTGCACTACCCAAAAATCGTCAAATCAATTCTCACTCATAGGGACTCCTTTTCTCAAGACTAGAGTATGAAAATACAATAAATAACAGGAGTTTCTGGAAGGACAAAAGGTTTTCTTGCTCTTCTATGTTCATCACACTACAGTCACACTGGCCTTTCTCAAACTCATTCAAATGTCTCCACTCTATCTGACCAATTCCTATTCATCCAAAATCTTTTTACTTTATGGATTGATTCCTAAAGGGCCCCTTTTTGCTTTCTCTCCAACCCAATGTCAGGGCTCCCCTAGTCCCTGTTCTCATAGCAACCTGTACTTCACTCACAGAAATTTATATATATAAAATGAAATAATTATCTGTGAAATTAAGTAATGTCTGACTCCCCTTTGAGACTGTAAATCTATCAAGGATAGCCTTAAGAACCAATATTTTATTAAGAATTCTTCTGGATTTAATAGGCTTAAATTTGTACTTTTACTTATGTTTGGTAAAGACTGTCTTTTAAATGTTTCATATGCTTGAGACCAACAAAAACATTGATTTAAATAGATTATTTAAAATTTTAGCTGATATAAAGATTTAATAGTAAGCCCACCTGTGGTGGGATTATTTTAGATAGGAGCACAGATGTTGGTGGGTAGGTATCATACAGGAATTTTATGGAAGCGCTCTTCTCATTGCTTCTATTCTCGTGAAATAGGAAGCAAGGTAATCAGCTGAACCTGAAGATGGGGGAGATGCTGGAGATTTGAGGTGAGAGAAGGTATGAAATGCATGTGTAATAGAGAAGAATGTCCTAAGGAAATTTAGTGGTGCTGCAGGAGAGCGCTGTGGGCCCAACGGGAGTTAAGAGCCATGATCTTCCAAGTTTTTCTCCAGTCACTTTCCAATGCACAGAGTAGGCAGAAAGCAGGCAAAGAGGTGGATTTCATCAGGGTTGATTTTTGCCAGGAAAGTTACAATGAAACTAGCGAGAGGGAAGTTGAGAGTGTATACAAGAATGATTACAATGATGGCTAATGGAATTTAAGCTGAGACATGAGGGGTAAAGCACAGTGAGTAGGTAGTAGGGTGAATAGACTATAGGACCTGGTAGGGCCAAAGAATTATTAGAGTTGGAGAACAGGATGCTTGAAATTAAGTCTAGGGGTCCCTGGAGCTTACTAAAGAAGGCTGGGGTCAGCAAATGACTTCCCAGAGAAAGCAAAATTGGGCAGAAATCAACTTTTTCCCACCAAATCTAAACCCTTACCATATGTAGTCATGTGGCAGGCAGAAGAATGCCCCACCCCTTCCCAGATATCCACACCCTAATCCCCAGAACCTGTGAATACTGTTATCTTTCATGGCAAAAGGGACTTTGCAGATGTGATTAAGGATCTTGAGATAGGGAGATTACCCTAGATTATTTGGGTGGGTACAATGTAATCACAAGGGTCCTTATAAGAGGAGGAAGGAGGTTCAGAGATGTGACAATGGAAGCAGAGGTTGGAGTGATGCAGCCTGGAGTTGCACTGATGAGGTAAGGAATGCGGGCAGCCTCTATAAGCTGGAAAAAGCAAGAAGCAGATTCTCCCCTAGAGCTTCTAGAAGGAACATAGCTCTGCCTGTTTTCTTTCTTAAACATAATGAACTTAGAGCACTCAATTACTTCTTGTCTCCTAAGTTTACAGAGAATAGCAAGGAAAAGGCTGGAGGGAACCTAAAACATTTGCTCTTGATAATGAGTTGTTGCTTTATTGCCTGTTTCTAGTGTGTTTAACTGTGCTTATGAGGAACCTGTACATAGATCAAGAGGCAGTTGTTCGAACAAAACAAGGGGATACTGCGTGGTTTAAAGTCAGGAAAGGTGTGCATCAGGGTTGTATCCTTTCACCATACCTATTCAATCTGTATGCTGAGCAATAATCAGAAGCTGGACTATATGAAGAACGGGGCATCAGAACTGGAGGAAGACTCATTAACAACCTGCATTATGCAGATGACACAACCTTGCTCGCTGAAAGTGAAGAGGACTTGAAGCACTTACTGATGAAGACCAAAGATTACAGCCTTCAGTATGGATTATACCTCACCATAAAAAACAAAAACCCTCACAACTGGACCAATAAGCAACATCATGATAAACGGAGAAAAGACTGAAGTCATCAAGGATTTCATTTTACTTGGCTCCACAATCAACACCCACGGAAGCAGCAGTCAAGAAATCAAAAGACGCATTGGGCAAATCTGCTGCAATGACCTCTTTAAAGTGTTGAAAAGTAAAGATGTCACCTTGAAGACTACGGAGCGCCTGACCCAAGCCATGGTATTTTCAGCTGCATCATATGCATGCAAAAGCTGGACAATGAATAAGGAAGACCGAAGAAGAACTGACGCCTTTGAATTGTGGTGCTGGCGAAGAATATTGACTATATCGTGGACTGCCAAAAGAACGAACAAATCTGTCTTGGAAGAAGTACAACCAGAATGCTCCTTAGAA